ACGATATATTATATTATGACGAGAAATTTTTGTTTGACAAAGTACTTACTTAAATACTTTTAAAATTAAAAAATAAATTATTTCGCTAAGGAAACCACCACCTTCTTTCGAAAATACTTAATTAAGTACCTAATCTAAAGGTTTATTCCACTTTGTTCACCTGGGTGATTTCACCTAGGTGAACAAAGTAGACTTTTTGGAGTCCTCGATTCACCTGGGAATTATTTCACCCAGGTGATATCACCTATAGTCCATCTGTTTAGGTAATTAACTAAAGGTAAACAAAGAAAACCACGTGACACAGAGATACTTAACCTACTATTACTTCAAATATTTCTCGTGTTTTAATTTTAACTAAATTCACTTTAAACTCGTTCATTTGTCATACACACATATACAACTACAAATGCCTAAATCGTACAAGAGCCTTGCCTATGGGTCTATTTCATTATCATGTTTAAATAGAAACTATTCTGAATCTGATGTACGGATTTCTTTCTTGTACGGATATGTGTCTTTGGGCCAAGTTTCTTTAATATATTTGAACACATTAATTACAAACGATGAATAACCTAAACTTGAATAACTTAATAACAAAAACAAAACAAAGAAACAAGATAAATTCAACAAAATAGGAACGCGAGCGCAAACGACGAGAGAGCTGTCAATGGCGCCTGATTAACCGACTAAACGTAATAGACGCTACTTTCATTGTCGCGCTACATCTTAGTTGTACTCTTTAATTTTACAACATTATTTTGCTTCGTTCTTAAAGAAAAGTTTTGGATACCTGGGATTTTAGGCTCTTTATGGTGTCTATTGCAATGAAGTGTTATACTATTTAATAAATGTTATTAAATTAATATCCTCAAGCAGATATATATAATATTTACTAAGAAATAAGTGAAAAGGAACAGAAACATAACATTTAATAGAGAAAACTGTCGTAAAAAGGGAAACAATTTTATTTTCTTATGAAGTATTTTGAATCATGGAAATGTCAACTATAAAGAACTCTTTTTATGGTTTGTTTACAAATAGTTAACTACCTAAACAGACGGAGTATAGGTGAATTGAGTTGACTCAAGTAGTCTCCTTAGACAACAGGCTAATATTTTCTATTGCACTCAATCTTTTCTTTTTCGGGACATTCATACTTGCCACGTCTATTATACAAATAGGTTTATAAAACGCGTGCAGCGTCATAAAATGGTAGGTACTAACTTAGTTCTCCTTGGTTGAGTGGCACAGGAAGCGGCTTGTTCTTGCTGGTACGCAACCAGTCCCTGTACGCTCGCTCGCTATTGGCTCGCCTACGCTCGTCCTCAATAGCAGCGCGTGCTGCTCTACGCTCTTCCCGTGTCTTCATTGCTGCAATAATTAGTAGGTATAAAGATGTAAAACTTGTTGTGTCATAATTAATGATAAAACATCTTAAATTTCGGAAAAAAAGACGACGGGTTGCTTTAATTTGTTGGATAAACTTTGCAATTATCGTAACCTTACGTAAAATAAAAGGATGGAAAATATAGTTTTAGGATGTTCCTCTTAGAAGATTCTCATGAATGAATATTCTAAGATCCAAGGATCGGGATAAAGATTACTAAAAATCCAAGTTTCAACAAATTAATATAATTATAGTAAAAATCACCTTTTACTTCTTCTTCCTTCCTACGAATCCACTCTGCTAGTTTCTCCTCCTTGTCTCTCTCGCGCTTGTTTCGTTCTCTTTCTAATTGTTCGTTGTTTCGGTACTGTCGCATTATGTCCTCGGCTCGTTGACGCTCCGTTTGGGTCCGTTTTCGCTCCAACCACCGCCGGTATGATTCCTCCCGTTGCTCCTGAGACGGCGTGGGTCCAACCTGCCGCTTCGTCTTTTCAACACGAGCTTTGTCACGTTTCTAAGAACGTTGAACATTAACTCTTTGAGTACCGTCATTATAGACACAATTAAAGAACCATAGGTTGCGGTCACCGGTGTCCTCGCGGTGTTTGAAAGTTTAATGTACTTTAGGTACCGTAACCTAACTTGCCTATCTACTATTACCTACCTACCTGCCAATGCAGTAGTTGGTTTGGTTGTTAACCAACATTATCATCAGTGTTCTTCCATTGTTGGACATAGGCATCACCAATAACTCGCCACTGAGCTCGGTATTCAGCCCTTGGCATCCAACCACTGTTACGCACTTTAAGGATATCGTCACTCTACCCAGATAAAGGGCGCTATACACTACGTTAGCTTAGCTACGGTCTCCACTCAAGAACACATCTGCTCAACGGTCATCGGTTCTTCGAGAATGGTAAACATTAATATCGTAATCAATATTACCTAAACATACAAATCTAGATACGAACGAAATAATCTAGCCCACCTCTTGGTCTTTCCTTGCCAGCCATTGCTTGAATGCTTCCTGTTTTTTCTTTTCATTACGCTCTCGTTCTTCCTTAGCTGTAGTAGTGGTGGATATGGATGCCACTGATAACCGAAACGTGTCGGGTCTGTCCTCCCGGTAAGTGCGATCAAATCGTGGCGTTTCTTCATCTACATCTAAACCTTTCACATTCCCTAGACCTGTCAATCGACACGACTTTCTCTTCACACTGCCTGACGAGACACTCGAGCCACGACCACTCAGTAGTGGGGTTGAGTTACTCCTATAACTACTATGTGGATGCGGCGTGACGTCAGAGATGCACGAGTCTGTATGCAGAGATGTCACAGAATGCGTCGACTCCACTGGTTCAATATAAATGGCCGGATTTATGTAACGTGTTTTACTTTTTCTCGAAGCAACGGATTCTGAATCACTGTGATATTGAATATTTTCACCAGCACCATCGAAAACATGATTGGAATTTCTCGATTTCAAATCGTACACGGTTGTATTACGGGCGCTGTCGCCAAAGTTCCCTTTGTCGATGTCGCTCGCCATTGCCTCAAAAACCTTTAACAATTTATTACCATAATTAAATAAATCTATAACACTAGAGTAAAATATTGACAATGCAAAATAAATCTAAAAAATATATTGTTGTAGAAGTAGACTGTCAAAATGTCTTACCCCTAAAAGAACGTTACGTCAAAATATCCATGTATGGATGGTTCTGAAAACGAAACTCGTTTGACTTTTGTTACTGGCCAGTAGCGAATTGGTTTAATAACTTTTCTACAAGTAAAATAAATTATTTTTTAATACTTATGTAACACTCTTATGTAAAGGTGCTCCCGCACAGCAGTTATGTAACGTTAGACTGACATTTGATTTTAAACAAATTAGAACAAAAATTGTATTACTTAGTTACTTGACATGTTACACGTTGTAACATGTGTAACATACTCTAATAAATATTATCGTGTTACACAATGTGGAATTTTATTGAGGCGGTAAAATCATCGGGTCGGGCTGTGGGAGTGTCCGACTCTCACTGAATAAAAACCACCCCGTTCCTACTCCTGCACTTCGAGCCGGAGCCCTGGTAACCTTTTACGTTCTCTGCGGCTCCATATCGGCATCAGCCCTATTGAGCCCCATCCGTGGTGGTCTGATGGCTCACAGAGGCGCGCGGAACGCGACGCGCCGTACACTCGGGTCTGGGTCGGGCGGCGAGCCACCCATGCTCGCCGTCCAGAGCAAAGAGTAGTATAATAAGTATAGGGGAAGTCCGCAGGCCCATGCTACTGCTGTGTGGGAGCACCTTAAGAATGATTGACAATATTAAAACCATATGAAGTATACTTACCACGCTAAATTGTTCTATGGCTGTAGGCAGAAGAAACTACAGAACGCCACCGCAGAGTATTAGACAAGTATGGATTTATATCCTGTGTTAAACGTCGATGGGCTTATTTTGTACATACATATCTATCTGTAACATAGGTTATACCTTTAACAGACACCGGTCTCGTAATTGTAACATTATCTATTAAATATATCAAATATATTTAGCTTCTCAAACAAGGCGGTAGTTGGGAGATGATTTCAGTTTCTGTTTTATTCTCCAGTGTTCGCAAAATTGACGCAGATCCAATGTCATGTGTTGTGATTTCTTTGAAGATACATATTATTAAAATAAAACTACAAGTTTACACATTCATAGAAATGTATTCATTATTATTATTTTCGACATGGGTATAATTATTTAAATTAAAAAAACTGACTATAAGCCAATAACATCACTTTTGGATAAATTTCAATCAGGAATACTTATTTGATAAATGTATTATTTTAAAACAGAAATTTTTAGACTCCATTACATTATTGTATTGTAAATCATTGGGTTTATTGAATGTCATCATATTAAGTAACAATATTTTAGCTTAACTAAATCCTATTTATGAATAGTTTTGGAACAACTGACGAGATAATTATATTGCAGTGTCATAGCAAGTTGTCAGTGTAAATACTCTGAAGTCATTTAAATATAATTAGGGCCTGTTTCACGACGCCTAATTGAATTGGTGTTAATTTCACTAAAACAACATTAACAGCAACACAAACAGGCATCGTGAAACAGACCCTTTAACATTTGTCAAAATTTAAATTACCATAAAATGTCATTATCAAGCAATAATAACTACAATATTAATTCACAAATAAGAAATGGATTACGACACAGCACTCAGTCTCACATATAATACGAGTCTTCTGCCTCTCAACCTTGCTATAAGACTACAACACAATTAATTAATCTTTACTCACTAGACAAATTAGCACCTAAAATATAATAATACAGGAGATATAATCACTTGTAACATTTCGCATACATCTATAAAGAACTACTTGAAAATGTTACGTTAATGTAGGTATGTAACAACAATTTATAGAAGCATGTGTTGACATGTGCATGTAGTATGCAAACAAATATTTACACAAAATGCGCCTAGTGAGTAAAAATCAAGAGGTATGAAAGCCAGTTACAGTATTACTCTTAGATCCACAATGTATTCTTAAAATCGCATGTGACTAAAGAGATACTACTTGAGATTTAAATAGTGCCTAGTACAGAGACTCTGCGTTTGAGGAACGTGGCTTTTTAATCTTCTCCAAGTTCTTGATGACAATGTCGTGAAGTGAACAGTAACGGTTACGGATTTCGCACATCACTAGCCAAAGGGACAGGTACTCCTTCTCGTCCAGCTCCTAATAATAAACAAAAAAACAAGTTATTGTACTGAATAAGGCACACACAAAACTTCTAAAAATATCAAATAACTGACAGCAGTCAGACTTAGTAGAAATGGGTAGTTTTTTTCTCTGTAAGAGTCTGAGAGAGTCAAGTCAAAGTCTTACTGAGTAAAAAGTTCCTACTCCTGTCTTATGCCAGGGCCACATTACATGGCTAGTCACATCCACAACCCCAACAGGTGCTATTGACCTCTACACATATGAAGACTTATCATAGGTGTATCGCTACCATATGCCACTATCGTAATATTATGAAATAGTTATATATAAGTATCTTTCAAAGATTGCTTTGTGTGAGGGCTTGTTTGGACATGTATGTGCTTGTTTTGATTTCTTTTACTACTCAACTATTAGTAATTTTAATAATTAAATTTTACATGCTTACTATAATCACATTAAATGCCATTAGGGTCACCGGTGACCGACGTTAGCGGAGGATTTGTCTTCAACAGTTTTTTATTGGCAGTCAAAGCCTTAACGGTAAGTAAACAGTGATCAAAACTGTATAGAGGTGAAAAAAGACACAATGTTGACAAAATGTGTTATTGTTTCATTTATTATTTTTGGCTGAGACACAACTACGCTAATAGTTATTAATTAGGTATTTAGTTCCATTACATGCTGTGCCAAATACGCCAAATACGCTCACACAATAACAAAAGCCATTTTTCCTAACCATATGTTGTTTATCAGAATTTTAAGATTAAGATTAGAAATTATTATACACATATGAATCACAATTTTAAATTACTTAACTTGTTCATTTATTGCAAAGATAGAAAGTTTCTTATGCAATCAAGGAAAAATATTTTAAATAGGGGTTTTTCCTGTTTGTAATTTACTCTGGTTATGAATTGCTTAACATTTAAAATAAAACATGACTGCAGCTGGTCTGTTCATTTAGGTATCAGGTAGCATGATGATGTCAAACATTAATTGAAATAGTTACTGCTACAGAAGTGCATTTGGCTGTATTAAATACAGGCAACAGGAAATGCAAGTAAATACTCACTCGGACAGCTCTCCTGTAGTCATCAATGTGTGGGTATTTAGCGACCTTAGACACGATCTTCGCCCGCGAAATGAAATATCGTGAGATTTGGTCAAAGAAGGCGGCGGCCTCCGACTCCACGGACTGTATCTCGGCAAGTGTGTCTTCCTGTATTGATACACCGAAGTTGTTGCCATCTTCAATTTTAGGAATCATGAATGATATCCACATTTTCAGCTGAAACAATGTTACGTACACAATGAGAAGTTAGCTCAATATTTATTATGTTATACATTAATGCTGCCTGCAAATTATTTGAAGTTGTAAACAATATCGTAAACTGTCGTGTCTCTTGGTTTTGTCAATTAATGTGGATTGCTGACAGCCACCTGCAACAAGCTCTCGGTCGCTAGTTACGACTGGACCTAGACAAAAGCCAAATGTCACCCCTCATACTAGGTGGGCGACATAACGGACGTGACGCAAAGGAACGCAAATGCAACAAAAGAACTCAAAATGCAACGAAGGAACGTAATATACTAAATATTACACAATATGACGTAACAACAGAAAAGAACAGAAATGATATCCGTGACGCAGGTTACGCTAGAGCTGTCTACGATGTAGGTAGCCCACCTAGTAGGAACAGCAACTACTTCACAATCGGCGACAGTTCGCGTTATTCCATTCATTACCCACCTCGGACATTGGGTTAGCCAAAAACCACGCACTAGTAAATAAATGAAGAGATAAAACGCATATTTCTCCCTAGAATTAAACTCACCCAATTTGTGAGGAGCGCAGGGAAAGAAACGTCTTATCATTGGATGCTGGCGTCGCGTCATACGGCGTAGTTTCAATTGGCGACTGACGGGGCGACATACGCAGTGTTTGGGCAGATGTCGATCGCGATTGAGTTCCATTAGGCTTAATAGCATATAATCAGAAAGATCTATACACAGGTTTCCAAATACATGTAGGCATTTGTGTTAAATAGTGACATACAAGTAGGTTGCATCTCCAAATATCAATTACCTAATGGTTATCTCAAGTGATGATATAGTTGAGTTAATAAGTAACATTTTTTAACATAGGCCACTTTCAAAGCACACCAAAGTACATTTTAATTTGTGATCAAACTGAATAGTCTAGTCTTTCATCATTTCATACATTTATTATTAAACTATTGTAAATAAAAAGTAATGGACGAAACCAACTTTTAATTTTATCATTGACCTCAATATGTAGTAGGACAGTAAAAGGTTTGAAAAACAACTCTTTCTACTTCTAAGCAGAATATAATGCAACTTGTAGGAAATAGCCATCACAATAAGACTTTAATCAAATTAGAAACATTTGAGAGAGGCCTATGCCCAGCTGGAATCCACCAGGCTGTGAATTGATGATCTATGCAAGCTTCACCTTCACAAAATGAATCCTCTTGTGGCTTACTTGTGTTCCTTGTCAGTCCTACCATAATGTCATTGTAAATAGAAGAAATCTTTATTACATTCCCAAATTTGTATAATAAAACAACTTACCAAGTTTGAATCTTCAACCAGTTCCCTAATGTGTGGTTTTACAAGATGAATGAGGTCACTAAGCGGCTTGTTGCATGGCACTGTACCATTAGGCAGGGCGTACACTCGTGTGCCCTCATGCAGAGTCGAGTTGCTCGACACCTCTGATGAGTCCACTCGTGGACGTTTGGCATTTGGCTCATTCGCTGCTGATGCAGGAGGTGGCACTGGAATGTTTAAGTCCTGAAATAAAAACATATTGAGCTCATTGTCATCAAGAACAAAGAAAATGTAGAAATTATTGATTAGTTTCGAATGAACTATGTAGTCATAGCTTTGTAATAATAATATGGCAAATCAATTTAAACACAATGTGACAGTACAAGAATAAACATTGTGCAACATGATTGCAGTAAGAATATTATAAACGTATTCTAATTTCACATGATCACAGTATAAAAATGGACTATACCTGATGTACATCAGCTAAATCGCGATTCTGGAAATTTGATGTTTCTAGAAGTTCATTCAATTTTACGATCTTCTCTGGAAATCCTTTGATAATCAGATGCTCGGCTTTCTGCTTTAGAGAATCCTTGTAGTCTTGTACCTGAAAGTAATACACGTGCCGATTAATATGAGCCATCCTACAACAGCCATTATCCGTTGCTACGCCTATGATCCCCCACGATCGCACAATCTGTTGAGGTTATGCGCCCTTACAAGCAATACCTACAGCTCCCATTGTTATAATTACACGTTCCGGTATCTTTTCAACGTTGACCGTAAGAGAATAGTGAGATTAGACTGTAAAACAGTATTATTCAACCGCACTTCTGCAGAAAACTGAGGTCACACACACACTAATCAAAGAACGTTACTCGTGTCAAACAATGCTATGAACCACGAAAATTAATAATGGCTTTACCTTTTTCGCGACGTCTGTCATTGTGCTAATGTTATTTTTAATGGGACTTTAACTGAAATTAATCCCTCTTAATGGTTCTAATACAAAATACTTTATTTTCCACACAACTTTTTACGCTAACAACTCGTGTATGAATGAATGATTGAAGTGATTTTGTTGTAGGTCTCGAAGCGTTCATTCGCCGTAGTAAAACGAGTTACTAAACTAAAAAAAATACAAATACGTTAATACCGATTTCTTTAATGTTGCGCTTTCCATTGAAATTAAATCCATTGTTTTCAATTTATTAGAATATTTTTACTACGTTATGGCAGTGTGACATAACAAACTTTTTAATTTTTTCTAAAATAATATTTGTCATTTTGGTGTAACCTCACATTTTGAAAAAAGGTGGCAACTGTATTTTCCTTCATTAATAATTTTATCTAAATTACTATGCAATCTGTGGTAGAAGGAAATAATATTAAACGATTTAGAACTTTAACTCATAATAAATAAAGTCCAGAATTAATGTTACTTCCACTTCGCGCATCAGATTTGACAAGTAAAAAAAAAGTAGTTCAAAAAGAACTTTCCATTGCAAAACTTGTAAACAAAAACACGCGGTCGCGGTATCGTCTTCTACTGTAACGATTTATGCATAATATTGTATTCTTATTTGAATTTAGTATTACAATACGTTTTCAAGAATACTGTGTTACTACTGCGAACTTATAATAATATGACTACCTTTAGGTTTAACTTTTCTGGTGAAGATAATAATAAATTGGAAGGTTAATTTATTATTTTTATTTACTTGTACTAGCACTGGTTAGCACCATACACTAAGTACATTATTATTTCAACAGAAACTAAAGAAAATGAATCCATTGTATGGCTGGATAGCGAAGAAATAGTTCCAGATAAACAAATTAAAAGTATCGATGAAACAGTTACTCGTGCTAAAATGTTTGCCTGCGGGGATGTCGAGATTGGGCATATTGTAGTTAGCGAAGCGAAAGCTAGTATTGAGGAGAGTGGATTGAAAAATGCCGTAGAATTAGCTGAAAAAGAACACAGTGATCTTATTGCCGGGAAATATGAAGGCAAGTGGAAGACTGACTGCATGCAATAATTATTAAATTTATGATCTATACCTATTATACAGATCAACAATTTGTAAAAAAATAACTGTCTATTAAAACAATGTTATTGTATATTGATATTCATTTCAGGTGGACTGAAAATTTGGGAATGCACTTATGATTTAATTCAATATTTAGAAGAAAATGAAACAGAAATAAAGTTTGAGAATCAAAATGTTCTAGATCTTGGATGTGGTGCTGGAATTTTAGGAATTTATGCATTTTTAAGGGATTCTAATGTTACATTTCAGGATTATGTAAGTATTTTATTATGAATTTTTGTCACTAATTAACTTTTATTATTTTTGTATATCGGAACATAGATCTATGCGAGACACAATGCGTTTTCTATTATGTCTCATATATCGACAGACAAGGTTAAATATGTTTACTTATAGTGATCATTAAACTGTCAAACACCAAGCGGTCACCGGTGACCGCGACCTATTGTTCTTTAATTGTGTCTATAAAACCGGTACTCAACGAGTTAAATTTATTCTATGTAGTGATTATAACACTGAATAAATACTATTTCTATGTATTAATTGTTTCAGAATAAAGAAGTGCTGGAATACTTTACTATACCAAATGTTTTACTGAACATTGAAGATGAAGAGAATAGAGAAAAAGAAATAAAAAGATGTAAATTCTATTCAGGCGACTGGGATTCCTTCAACAAGATACTGCCTAGCTCTGAACTCTTTGACATTATCTTAACTTCAGAAACTATCTACAATGAATGTAACTATGAGAAACTAATCACATTGTTTATGGATAGATTGAGCAAAGATGGAGCAGCTTATGTTGCGGCAAAAACATACTACTTTGGTGTAGGTGGTGGCGTAAGACAATTTGAGCAAAAGGTGCAACAAAATGGCAAACTAAACTGCGAAGTTTGTTGGAAGAGCACAGGAGGAATACAAAGGGAAATATTGAAAATCACACATAAATAACCATAACAACCTTAACACATTTATTTTTACTTGATTACAATAAATGGTATAAATAAAATCACTACAAATTCACTATTCACGGTTTTGGTCTTACAACTACAAATAATAGAAGTTTCTAAGGCGATAGTCTTTCATAGACCCAGCCATCATCTCCCTGATGCAAGAGCTTTCCATCAGGAACCTCTCCCTCCTTGGGCTTCCTGAATTTGATTCTATCATGAAGCCGGTCTCTTTGGCCTTGCCAAAACTCTACAGCTCTTGGGCGAATTATGTATCCTCCCCTGAAATTAAATAGAAATTATTAAAAACATTAGCCTTTGCCCTGCAGTGGGATGATCATGGCTGAAAATAAAATAGATAATAAATAATTAAAAACATGCTTAAAGCTATTGGGACTTAATGTCATAATCCTGTTTTAGGAATAGATGCTGACAAATTGTATATTGGCACTATAATAAGTCCAGTTCAGAATCAAAGAGTAAAAAATTCTGTAATAGCATAAAATACAGATTCATATAAAGTGTATAAATAAATAAGTCACAACTCTAATAAGAATGTGACAAAAACAACTAAAAATAAAGACTCAACAAACAATTGTGAAGGTCATTTATTTTTACATTACATCATGTTGTGAGCACAAGATAGCTCTTTTGTGTAGAGAAATGAAAAAAATCTTACCAGTAGGTTGGTTTTGGGACCTCTTTTTCTGGAATCAAATATTTTTGTTCTAAAACAGATTCTCTTTCACACAAGATATCCCTTGATTCAATGGGAGTGCTCTGAAAACTTGCACATGCAGCTATCTGACTGGGCACAGGTCTTGAGTGGAAATATTTTGTTGATTCTGCCTCACCCAATTTCTCCACAGATCCTTCAATCCTAATAGACCTGTTTAAGACTTCCCAGTAGAATGTTGCTGCCACATTAGGGTTCTCATTCTGAAAAAATAAACAAAATAAAATAAATACTCAAAAGTATTTTTAACTTTGGATCCTTAATTGTTTTTTAATAGATAAATAATAAACAAACCAATTCTTTAGCTTTCCTGCTTTCATAATTTGTGAAAAATTTGTAGCCATCTTTTCCATATCCCTTGCACAATACAAATCTTGCTGAAGGAAAGCCTTCTCTGTAAAAACAATGGATGATTGAATGACACAATACTTAACTGATAACAATAGTGGAAAACTATGGTCATGATAAATGTATGTTTTGTTTAGATAAAGTGGTACTTACTTAGAAACAGTTGCCAAGCACATAGCATTAGGTTCTAGAATCTCCTTCCTAGAACAAGCTTCTTCAAACCATGCCTTGAATTGTCCAAATGGCTCTTTGGACACCAAATGTTTCTCCAAAAAGGTGTCATCTTTATCCTTATATTTAATTCTCATACCTTTCAATTATAAATTGAATAAAACATTAGAATAGTGTTCGATTTTTATTCGTAATTACAGTTGATAGATTTTAACGTACCTCCGATATCGATGCTCATGTTTCTCAAGTTATTTAATCCTAGTTTACTGCAAGAATACGATAAACTAAGCAAGCTCTTGAAACCCATGCAAGTATATAAAAAGTTAAATGGTGCCACGCTAAGTATAATCAATTTCACAGACTAGCATTGAATGAACTTTAAATTACAATAATTAAAACAAGCCTTGTAACTGATAATGACCGAAAACTATACGTCTATACTGTTCGTCGGTTCAACGATCTCGCTCTTTATAAGATGATAACAAACACTGATAAGTAATTTGTGAGCAGTATGTAACTGGTCTGGTAGTGACTTATTAATTTATTGGTGTGTGTCTATTGCGTTAAATCTATTGCGTTGCGATTTGGACAACTGTCGGAAAATAATATAAAAATAATAAAAAAACAAAGTACTTTGCGATGGGGATGAATTCAGAGTTATTGACATTACATTGACAAACGCATTTTGACAAATATAACAGTGACATTTTGAACACAATAGACGAATAAAAAATGTTGGTTAACGAGTGTGCGGATTCATTGGCCAAATTTGCGGCCTCGAATGAGGTCGAACGCCAACACTACGTTGTGTACGGGTATGATATACGTGCCGACACAAAACACAAGCTGTTTGACTCATGGGCTGCAGTGTGGGTAGAAACTTCCAAACGGAAAGGTGCCTACTATGCAGTTGTCCAGCCCGGCATCCGACGGAAACCTTGGTTTTCCAAGTACCCTAAGCTTCCCCGTCATACTGTTTCATCCTTGTGTAGGCTCAGACTCGGCCATTGTAGTAGTCCGATCTTCCTCAACAAGATCCGTGTCCGCGACAGCTCGCTGTGCGAATGCGGCCTTGATGAGGGAACCTTAGAACACATATTTTTTTCGTGTCCCTTAAATTCCCAATCCTTTGACCTCTATAAAAAACTTCCCAGTATCCAAATCCCACACCCAATCAGTTTCCACCTCCTTTTAACGCACTTTTCCCACAAAGTAATTATTTATATATGTAAATTTATGAATGAAAATGAGATCAAAATGTGACGGTGTCCAATGATGTATATTAATATCTGTCTATATTGTGTATGTCCCCCAACTATTTTTTACACCACTGTATATATACAGTAAAATAGTTGATAATGTTTATGTTTTAATAACCCAATTGTTTTGTCCTTTCAGCTATTAACAACTAAAAACTACCGCAAAGTTAAGTTCGACGGTCCAATAATTTTGCCGTCACCACTCGACACTGGCAATATAGTCGACAACACCATTTTGGAGACTCAGTTGCCAAAGAAGAAAAAAAAAAAAAAAAAAAAATGTTGGTGTACCAAGGTTTACAAGGGTTTAGAACCGCAGATTATGCTACATAAGAAATAATTGGACTATTATGATTAATGTGCTTGTATTATTATGACTGTTATGATTAATGTGCCAATAAGAATAAATGAAACACGTTTGTAACCGCAAGTTCCACATCTACCAACAAGCGCAAATTGCAAACGCATGTTGAAAATGACATCTAGTTAGTTATAATCGACTAAACTCGAATGCGAATCTGAAACAGATAAGTTTAATGTCATTGACCGAATGACTGGTTGACAACACGAATCACGAATGACATTTGACAACTCTATTTGAAAAGTTGTGTGTTGGAGTCTTGTTGGACAATATTTTTTACGTTGAAATCTATATTTAACTACAAAATATTTACACATTTAATTGAAAAACTGAATAATGGAGTCCGAAGTAATAAAGGAAAAGATTCATACAGAGCCTATGTTGAATGATCCTCGGTATATAACCTTACTAAGTGTAATAGTCCTACTTTTTACCCTTGGTAAGTAAATAATAATTTAACAGAAAAATAATATTAATGACTCATAAGTTTATTTGGATGATATACTAGTGATTTTCCCTGTTTGAGCGATTCTCCGTCTCACAGAATCCTAGCAGTTTTGCACATTTTTTTAGGCACAAAATATGTGCCAACATTGCAAGACAACAGCATGGCACATAAATATTCAGTGGTTTCTAATTACCTTAAATTAAGCCATATTGCTGTCATAATCAAGTTGAATATAATCCATTGAACTTTACTCATACATTGAATAAATTCTTATTAGAATTTTTCCCTTATTTATAAATTTGTTGTTTTTTTTCCAGTGTTTTGGTGGTTCTTCTCAAGGAGGCGACAAGTTCGTAAATCTGTTTTGTTAATGGGCCTCTCAGACTCTGGTAAAACACTGTTGTTTGTGAGACTTGCATACTCTCAGTACAGACAGACGTTCACATCTATGAAAGAGAATGTTGAAGAATATCTTACTTCCAATGTAAGTTACAAACAGTATAGAAAACATTAGTTATTGTAGTTTAGGCCTTAGTACGTAATAAGGTTTAAATGTAAATCTCAATCAGATGATAAAAAATGTCATTGAAACCATGATGTTCCATATTTCATGGCACCTATTTTATCATACTAGCTTTTACCCGCGGCTTCGCTCGCGTCACAAAAGGATAAAAAGTCAATATGACATATACGAATACACACAGCGCCATCTATACCAATACTTTTGTTTTCCCTCGGGAATATCAAATTTTTCCGGGATAAAAAGTACTATACTATTACCTATTATTTAATCCGGACTTCTAACTATATATCTGCAAAAATTCAAAGCAATCGGTTTAGTAGTTATGGCGTGAAGGCGGAACAAACAAACAAACTCACTTTCCGATTTATAATATTAGTAAGGATAATATAATCTCGTATAATAAAATGTGAAGTTTTTTAACATTTTTGATATATAACATTCCACGAAAAACTAATGTATTTTGAATATATTTTCAGGATGCCTTGAAAATTGTGGACTTGCCTGGCCAGGAGAGGTTGAGAAACAAATTCTTTGAGCAGTACAAGAACAGTGCCAAGTCTATTGTCTATGTTGTGGATTCTGTCACCATTCAGAAGGAGATCCGAGATGTTGCTGAGTAAGTATGTTGTTATCCTTAACATGATCCTTGTGTCCAAATCTTGTGTTTTTCTTCATTCCGAGAAATTATATAACAACCATTAATGTGGTTATACTTAGGTATTTCATTGTCAGACAAGAATGGGTATTTTCTTTAATCAAAAATAAATTATTTCGACTGTTCAATACATACTTTCATTTATTGATTTTATGACCAACTTAATATTTTCCAGCAATTTTTTAAGAAATAAGTGTGCTGTTTGACGCTTAAAAAATATACAATCTCATACGAAATTCATAGAAAACTGTTGTTTATACATAAAAAATTACTGAATTTGTCAAGTTAGCGTCAAGTAGGTATAGCCAACAAACTAAAAATACTTAAAAAAATATGTTCTTGTCGGCTGTGGCAACTGCTGACAAACAACAGACCACATCACATTTTGTTCGAATGTGGCATTCAAATAGTTAATTTATGTATGTTTATAAATTCTAATACTAAGTTTACTGGAAAAGTAAAGTAAATAAGTATGTAAACAAAGCCACAAAGATTATTCTAGGTATTTTTAAATTATAGTCTAAGTCGCATTTAGATAAAAGTCCTATACAAAACAACACTACCAACAATTTTATTTATATGCTAAAAACATTGAAATGTTTGCACATAATTTTTATGTTTTTGATTTACTCTCGTAAGTAGTTGACGAGAAACTCGAGTAGTTTCAAGACATGCTAGAGGCTTACTTCGTCAAACAGTTACGTGAGTGAGACAAAAATATAATAATGAATTTAGTATGTCTCACGAAAGTTACATGTTTTCAGGTACTTATACACAATTCTGTCGGACCCAGTGGTGCAGAGCTACAGCACTCCAGTTCTGATTCTGTGCAACAAACAGGACCAACCCTTGGCTAAGGGTGCTCAAGTTATCAAGAGTCTGCTAGAGAAGGAAATGTAAGAATACTGATTGCTAAGAATGCTTTTTCTATTATAAATAAGTAACTTTGACATTTTATCGAGGTTTTACTCACATACAAAAGGTATATTGATAAGGTCTTTAGGCTCGTACACAAAAATGCGATTCGAATTCGCAACGCAAAAAATTATGATGCGAATTGCTGCTGTGACCATTCTTTCGACGACCGTCAACCGTACTAAACGTATTTATATTGGCAACTATCATGGATCGTAAAAAGAAGGGTGCACTGCTGTTATTGCTTAAGGAGATACAGGAAAAAGAAACAAATAAGATTTTGGGAATATAAGATTTTGATGCGCTATGCGAATCAATTCACAAGTTCTTGCGATGCGTAGAGGGAGCTCGCACATTTTTGCGAGGCGACGATGCATCGCAGTTTTGTGTACGGGCCCTTAATCCTTATTCACAACTAATTGTATGTAAAATTTTATAGAAATTGGCTAGTAAAATAATACATACAGATTTGCAAAACAAATAAACACATTTTATTTCGCATTTATAATATTTTTTGGAATTAATGTAAGTGAGCTAGCATCATGTAGTATATTTTGTTAGATTTATAATCTCAGTCTATTTATGTAAATTATGTATATTTTTTAATTCTTTCTACTAATATGACTAAAAATTGTTTTCAGAAACCTAGTGCGTGTCACAAAATCCAGCCAACTGCAATCTGTGGATCCTTCCCAAGGCAACAACTCGACATACCTCGGCAAAATTGGCAAGGACTTTGAGTTCTCACATCTTAGTAACCGAGTGGAGATTGCCGAGAGCTCAGCTAACACTGGTGATGACGACACACCGGCCGACATCAAGAGTCTGCAAGATTGGATCTCCAAACTTTAGTTACCTATTTAACTATTTGCTCATTTTCGCATGATTTTTTTTTCTCTAATTTGTTAGTTTTCAAAATACTCGAGATCAAATGAATAAAAATGTCTTGTAAATGAAAGCAGCCTGTATTCGAATTTCTGAAAAAAAATCGGTCAAGTTAATGTCAAAATGCTTTTTGACAGGTTGACCAACCAATCATACCTATTAATTTATAATGCACTCTCATTGGCGGCAAATATAAAAATTTTATTATAGTTATGGAAATTATTGTATTAAATTTAAAAAAAAACTTCGTAAATTCCAGATTAAGTTGAGTATATTTGAAAAAATCTTGTCAATCTATGGTTAAGTTTTTGGATTTTGTTTCTTTTTAATTGATAAACTTGTTAAATGTGTCGCTTTGTCATGTCCTCTGTACTGAAACTTTAATATTGCATTTATTTCAAATAAAGAATAAAAAGAGTTATTTCAAATAAAGAATAAATGTTTGAATAGTAATGTTATACAGGGGAGACAATGTATGTATTCTCAAAGAATTGTGCATTTGGTGATGTATGTATTGCTGTATTTTATTATTGTCAAGGATTTTTTATAAATAAAGCTTGACTGATTTTTTAAATTTTACTTTTTTATTTTTTTACTTCCTTGAACTGGTAGAGTCATGAATTTCTCTAATAGAACTATAACGTTTTGTGACAAATAATTGTTGAGCTTCCGTCATATTCGTGCATGATCTTATTAGATAATAAGACATTATGAATGAAAAGAATGACAAATAATCTTATTAAAAATATGCCAGGTACATCTACTGAAGCCGAGGACTAATACAACATCCTACTAATACAAAATAGGGACCCTGTGAGATATCTTCCTCGAAAATATACTCGTAGGAAAAGTACCAAAAAAAAGTGTTTTTGTAAATTATGTTCAACACAATTATTTCAAACCCAAGTTCACACATATGGAAGGTACCATCTATCAATAATCATGTTTCCTAAATAATCGAAGTTTTCTATCTTATTGATCTGATAATTAATATTTACAACCCATCTAACTTGTCTATCCATTGATGTATTGTAACCGTTTTTTACTTTCATTGAGGACCATGCAGGTGTGATGCGAATCTACCCCTTCCAATTCTTTTTTTCATATGTCACAAAACGATTAATGAATGTCGCATGACTCGACTAAAATTCAAGATCAAAACCAATATTGATTACCTACCTACCTATATTAATTGTCATTTTTGCATATTCATGAATTTAAAATTAAATCTATTGATAGGAATCGATGGCTTTGTTCTTTTGAAAATGTATTAAAAGGGGTTGTGCACTTCAATGCATTTTTTGCATGGTAAGTAACTTTAAAATTATTATTCGTTAGTCATTTTTGAAACTCGATTAATCGATATGCATATTCATAATTTTGTCATCAATAAATTGATATTGAATGGATTGATATTTTTGAGCACGTGCGTTGAATCATGCAATTATTTACGCTCAACTGCTAATGTAGGGGTTCTAAAACTTTTTCATTAGGTACTACTAGACCCACCGTCATGTCATAGGTCATAAAGCCCTAGTAGATAATCAACTAAAATATCTCTAGAACATCATCGACAATTGGGTAGTTTCCAGGGTATCAAAATTAAAAATCTAATTAGTCCGTCAGTTACATAATGAAAAAAAGATTACACGTACCTGCCTATTTTTTATTTTTTAGTATTAAGTTGCAATACTTAGATAAAATGGCGCTAAGTTTAGGAGTGGGAGGTTGTTACGTCATAACGTGCTACAAAATGTGGCACGCTGTGACGTCACACGATTATATCGTCGAAAGTATTAAATTTTGTGAGAAAAGAAAATTAACGTGTCTAAAGTTTTAAATTAATGTACCAGACGGACATTAAAATAAAATTTATGAAACTATCCTAACTTTTGAGCACTAATGTGCTCAAAAAATGTCTTAAACCTAAGTTAAAAATAAATGTACCTACATACTATCGAAACGGTTAGGCCATGAAACGATTGATCACTTTTAAGATATGCAGCATACAGATATAAAGTTACAGGTAGGTAGTTCACTGAACAATCTACCTAGCTACGTCTTACCTGCTTTGTGTAGATGTATCGTCCTCCACACACTGTGTCATCACATATTGCTCCGACAGACGCATTTTGTTCACATTGTTATATGAATACGGCACGCATTCACACTCTAACATATCTGAAGGTACTAGGTGAGGTGGGTATCCTCAAACACGCATAAAGCTACCTAATGGGTATTTCCTTAGAGCTTAAAACGTGCTCTTAAAACTGGTCTGTAGGTAGATGGTTACGGTACCTACCTACATTACTCAAGTACGGCATCGCCTCAACAATGTTGTCTCATTAATGACAACACAAACAATTTCCAGCTTAGTGAAAAAGTCAAAAAATATTGATCAAAGTAAAATGCGCCGGCGTCGTTAAGGACACTGACTGCTTGTCATAGCGCGTTCCTACCTTATAATGGACGCCATTTCTCGAATGAATGATAATTTTACCTTGCGCTCGGTAAATAGTGTGTTCACTGAAGGGGGAGTCTTTTTAACGTCATAAAGGACTAGACAAGGACTATTAAAGTATTTTAATGACTATACTTGGTTGACAAATGAGATCGTGGAAGTCGTTCGGTGTTCGTGGATTCGAGTTCTAGAAAATCGTGATTAGAACGCAATTATTTTAAGAGAAAATTGGTTCTAAGTATTCATTTAAGTTTTAAAGTGTATCTACTTATTATTTCATGAACGTGGCGCAAGGTTGGAAATTAGTTGACAGACTCTTCATTTTTACTCCAACACTACGGAGTACCGCCTAGTAGGTAGGTAGGTACCTATACCAACTTACATTATACAGTTTCACCATTCACGCGGGACAGCTATACTTCAGCATGAATGCATTGGCTCAACCAGAGTGACACCACGGCCTCCATAGTGAAAACTGGCGCGTAACAACGCAATTTGCAACACCGACCTTTCAGAACTCAGAGAAAGAAATACACTTTCTTATGTAATCTATCCCTATCAATAAGTCGATATTATTCATATCATATCTGTTCACAATATAGTGAGCGATAAATTACAGTCGAATTAACGTTACGCCGTCATTACTAAGTAATTGCCGGTGCATATTCACTTTACGAAAAAGTAAAGTGGTGGCTGCTATTAAATTATATTATGATTACACTCATCAGACTAAATGAAGATGCTTAAAAAACTGCACGTACTTATTTTTGGTATTAAAAGCGTCCAGTGAATGTGTAAATCGTTAAATTTTGCATGAAAATGCCCTTCCGTTAACTATACACACTTTGGATGGAATTAATGGCTGATCTCTTATCGAGAAACCCCATGATGCCATGATGACTTCTTTAAATATTGTGCTTAAAGTAAAAAATGGCGTCAAATAAACGTGCGTATCGCGGTAGACTGGAGTTTCTGTCTGTGTAATGAGCTATTAAGTACATAGTACTATACGTAAGAAAGATGGTAACTGCTGATAAGTGTCTACCTAGGCTATATGTATACATAGTATACACAGTACCGTAGTAGTAGTAGATATTTTACTGTCAAACCTTTAATCCGATTTCATAAATTGCACCTAGATAGGTGCACCTAAGTAAGTAAATACCTAAACCATAAAGTTGATTGAAATACTTAGCTATTCAGTGAATTCAGTTGCATTTGTAGGCGATACCTAATTAGGCACTCGCCTAAGTCTCTCTAATAGTCTAAATCATGTAGATTTCTTGATTTCTACTATATTTAGCAACTCATATTCCACGAAGATGCAAAACTCCAATTATTCATATGTTCCCACGGTAAAAGGCTTATAGGTGAGCGTCCCACAGTCCCACGGTCACACAGGCCTGCCCACTTGTACTGCCTTTCTTCAATATCCTACAAATCACTGAGTACAATAACTGGGGACTTTCATACAATGTATGTGACGTTTCATTGTCTTGTTTGAAGACTTCATTTTTAAGATTTCGATGTTTTTTTTTAACTTGCTCTGAAGTCAAGTGGTCTATTGTCATGAATAGCAATTGTTTTGGTTTGCGTTTAGCGTTTAAGATGTTATGAATGAATTAATAAATTAGGGCTTAAATGACCGATTACGTATTTATTTATTTTAATTAATTTGTATTAGTTCTCATTGATATGTAGGTATATACATATCATTTCATCATTTAAAGTAAAAAATGATAATAGTTTAAATAGTTATGCACTGTGGGCGCGCTCTGCCGTCTGCCTCGAAATATCTCCTCTATATCAAGGGTTAAGAGAACGACTTGACTGCATATGTGTGCATTTAGTGAATTTGCGTAAAAAGTTTGTGATCTTTTATTTAGGTAAGTACATATCTTCACATATTTATTGCTTAAATTGTTAAATCAAAGAAGATAAAGTTGAACAAAAATAAGTTAAAAAGATTTAGTCTTGCACTAAATATTATTGTAGTACTTACCTAATGTCACGGAGAACCTAACGGGTTACCGGGGCTCCAGCTCGAAGTGCAGGAGTAGGAACGGGGTGGTTTTTAGTCAGTAAGAGTCTGACACTCCCTCCCGCCTCACCCAGGCGGGAGAAGTCATTCGATGATTTTCCCTCCATAAAAAAAATTATTATAGTACCTACTTAACAGACTTAATGATAGTTACACAGTTGTGTAATTTATTAGTGAAGGTAATGAATTTATCGTTAATTGACTCTATCGATCCCGAACATAACAATAACATTTTTTTACTTGCAAACTTGGAAAGATTGGAAGGTTTCATTCATTTTTGATCACTACGCGTTTTTTTTGTGGGAATTTAGAGTAACCATAGCCAATGGAGTGAAAGGATCAATCAATGAACACCTTTTGCTCGGCTGTGGTCGCGATCAATGGAGTTAGGTTAAGGGGAAGCAGAGTCGAAAATATTTTAACAAATTTTATTTGAATTCGAATCACATTAACTAAATATAAGTG